TTTTTTTTTAATAACACGTAAGGGCTGGTTCAGAAAAATTATAAATGAATTGTTTGAAATGATTTGAACCAATTTGCATTAATTTTTTTAAAAATCATTTTTGTGTAAAACCTGTGAAATTCTGAGTGAAAAAATGGAATTTGTAACATTTACAAATGATAATACTGTGTATGATAATCATCCAGTTGTATTTTACACAAAGGAATATAATACTGGATGGATTTCAAATCCGAGAGGGAGACACAATGTCTAACAGACAAAATTATGTAAACACTGATAATGTTTGATGGGCTTTATGATAATTCTCATGTAAAGATATCAAAGTAAAAAAAATCTTCCAAATCAGACTGAAAGATGGATATTATCTACTTTCTTTTAAAAGAATTCACTTGAGGTAAACATACTATACCTTAAACGGCGCCTTTGAAATATAGCACACTATATGTGGTTTACCGTCTTCTGCGGCAGGTGGCGACACTGTGGTTTCGCTTTCCTTGGGCAACTCCGGATAGGGCTTTTTGAAGTTATGGCCACAATCTGAACACTTAAACTTCTGGTTGCGTTTCAGGTTTGCTTCGTTTGTTCCTCCTAAAGCTGTCAAATTGAATAAATTAGATGTAGATGACACTAAAACCGTGGTTTTTGTCGCAAGGCATTGTTGTGGGATACCCTAGTGCAGGATATTTATAAAGGATGAGCGCATTTTTTTCATCAAATATCCAAACCATCATAATCTAGCTTTACTGATCTGCAGCCCGATGCGTGATTCAGTTCGTATGAAATTTGTATTTAAAATAACTACTGGTGAAGATTAGACACAAAATAAAGAAGGTTTTTATTTCGAAAAATTGAATGACAAAGGCACAATGATCAAATAAATTTTAAACCACACAAAACAAAACCAAAAGTTTATCCCGCAAATAAGTTTTCAGAAAACCCGATTTATTCATACCTGAATTGGCAGACTGAACCTCGATGAGAAACGACAGCATATTCAACAGCACTGTCTGTACGGTGTACCCGGGAGACCACCCCATGGCCTTGTCGTTCGCCCATTCCCGGTGCCAATCGGCAAAATCCGAGAAAATCGACAAACAGACTTGCGTTCCCTTCTTTCCATTTTTGGTGGCTCCTCCGTGATACTGAAAACCATGTGGTACAAACTCTGCACTTGGAGACCGATAGGGGTAGTTTTCAGGAAAGAATAGGATAAGGTGGTACACGTTATCATCGAGTTTAAAGTTACAGTGCCACTCAAACATGTCGCTATCTAGAGGAGCGGCTGACACGTTGGCCACTGGGGACTTCTTTAACTCTTCCAAGTCCTGCAGTAGCCTTTTCATAGCGCGTTTGCGTTGCGGCTCTCCCATCTTCAAATTATGCAGATCCAATTTATATAGCGAATGGTTTTTCTTTTTTTCAGCTACAATTCTGAAACTGAAAAAGTTAAAAGAAAAATTACTTCTTTTTTCAAAGAAAATCTCGGATAGGATACGTTTAAGTAATTTCACTTACAATAAATTCAAGATGTCTTTCTGAAATAAATGAGTATGGCGAGAGAACCCAAGTACCGTTGCCCATCGGCAGTACGATATTTAAAGGTGAATAATGTGCACGTGCCCCCTCCACTCCCCCAACCCCCCTCCCACCACCCCTTCGACCCTCAATTACCATAAGGCGTTCACTAGATGTGGTATCCAAAACGTTTCAGGAATGTATTCCTGACACCCCTTTCCTCCCCTCCAACCCCCGTTCCTGAAGGCTGTATCCACATTCGACAGTACTACCGTTCTTTATTTCAGACTTTCTGTTAGACCAGCATCAGCTGCATTCAGCAAAAATCGATATCAAATGCCATTTTATCTTATATGTCATGAGCTATTTCATCTTATCTTCATACATAAATAGGCCACTTTGTCCTTCAAAATATATCTACTTCATTATGCCTATGAGGGGGTCTTTCCTAATGAAACTGTCGGTCTACGTAGATCGATCCAACTTCGCGGGGACTCTCGCTGAATGCAATCAGATTAACAGATTAACACGCCTCTTGTTTCGCTTAACCACTAGTTTTTTTTTTCTGTGCTCTGCTCAACGCCAGGAGGAGGCGTGTTAATATGTTAATCTGAATGCCTTCAGTGAGAGTCCCGAGGAGTTGGATCGATCTTCATAGACCGAAAGTGTCATTGGGAATGAGCCCTATGGTATACGTGCGAAATAAGCCTTCCTGTTTCATTATCATATTTTTGAGAGCCCTTTTAAAATTGGCTTTAGATTATTCCATTTAAGTCCGACAAAGTACTAGTAAAAAACAACAATTATAATGGATTTGGATTTTTTGATTATTAAATAAGGGTCCTATTTAGATATTGCACTGATTGCTGATTGATAAGGCAGTGGGCTGCTCCTCAACACAACTCAACACAACAACACGTAGGCCTACTCCTCTAGTCTCAAGTCTAATCCGGTTCATAAAATCACGATCAGGCTTTGATTTCCCTTTTTCACTGTAGTACCCACCTTCTGTGGCGATTAACAGGTTTTCGTCTGTTATAAACTACGATCTGCCGCTTTATATAGCCTAGGAATAAACAGCGTGTACGGGCAGGCCAGAGCTTGTACCGGTGACAGAATAACAAAAACGCCCACACGAAAATTTTTACTTTGGGGCGACAGGTAGAGCTGTCCAAGACAAGCCATGCAAATGTGTTTGGTGTGGCACGAGAAATGGCTTCAAAATCTCAGCAAGTGCAACAGTAGCGTAAAATGAAGAAAGAAGTTGAACCCTTCGTACTATATGATGTGTGACAAATTGCAACCAAGACGAGAGATGTCTTATCTACAAGGAGGCTAAATGTCACAAGCAAATAATGTTATCAGCTAAAGAATACAAGTTGTTTGTTTACGTTTCAAACAGGCTCCCCAACTATAGGCCTAGACCGGTTGTCCATCTGCAGGGACGGGCCCCCGAAAATCTTTCGTAAATTAGAGGGCGAACGGTACCATTTGTCAAAATTCTAATTTCAAGGGGGAACCAGAAATCGAAGGGGGGGGGGAGGCAGGACTCCACCCCCTAACCCCCCTCTAAATCCTCCAATGAGCTGTTTAGTTCTTAAGATTGGGTCTGAGTCATCTCAATCCAAAGGATCTCCACCCCACTCCAAATAACTGTAAAAATCAGAGTCAAAATGGCCGTGGTGGCAAAATGGATTGAATATTGAGAAGATACTTTGATATTCCTTTAGAGATTAATTGCAAATAATGGAAGTTTAACCCTCATTTTGTTTGGACTAATGGTCGATAGTCGTTTCAAAATTCAGTTATCGGGATTTGACAGTCAGTTTTGACTTCTCGAAAACAAAGCGGTTTAAAGCAATTCAAGCCAAGATTTTGAACGCATTCAAAGTGCATGAATCGCTTCTTGGTGAACTTATCTGAGGAAAATTAAAAATTTTAAAGCACATTATTAGTATATACGGTAAAATCGTTGAATATACGTTTTGTCGGGAAAATTTTGGTTTGGAAGGCTTCAAGTTTAGATTGGGTGCACGAAACTGGGAAATAAAATTGCAAATTTTGCAAACTTCTAAAGGTTTTGATGCATTGTTAATTTCTCTGGTAAGATGAAACAAACAGTGAAGCAAGCCATGTTGTTTTAAATGATTTTTAAACAGTTTGATAGATTCAAATCCAAAGCCGTCTGCTCAACATGCTGTATTACGCATGCGCAGGCGCTTTCTGTCTCTGGTTGCTATTACAGCTCAACTAGCACAACAGTATTGTCCAAAAAAGTTATATAAAATTTATGTCGTTTTACAACATATAATATCAGGCAAAATATCATTAATCTGTCGTGATCGTAGGTGGGTCCTGCCAAAGGGAGAGAGGGAAGGGGATGAAAAGAGGGGGGATGAAAAGAAGAGAAAACATGGGAGGTGGAGTCAAACTATTTTGTCCATTTCTTGGTGTCAGTGATCCTCCAATACAGAACATTTTGTTACTAAATCTTAAAAACTAAATGACAGTTTATGATATACCTTATAGCTTTTTTATGAAAATGCTTACAGGATGTTTTCTCGTGTCGGATTTATCCAACCGTTCTTTCTTAATACGGGTTAATATCGAGGTAATTTTAGGCCTGCATACTAAGACCTATAGGCCTATATATTTCCCTAGAGGCCTATCTGAATTCAAAACCAGATTTGCAACTATCTCAAATAAACAAATAAAATAATAAGATATCGGTTGAGATATCAGTACCATTATCAGAGGTCGGAACCTGTTTATTTAAATTGATACGTGTGTTTTGAAGAGAAGGCGGTACAAAGCTTTCATGACAAACGTGCAACATAAATTGAAATTTTGATGTCTAGAGACTGAATGATCATTAAACCAACGACAACACTGACCTTAATGACCCATATTAGTGGGGCCGAGCCTCATGGACCTCACGTAGACCCTTATATATATTGAGTGAGTTTAACTCCCGAAACTGCTTAAGACTTAAATGTTGGTTTATGTTTTATAAGATAAATGCCTATCCCTTCTTTTCCTTATCCATCCTAACTTTCGCTTTTCTCTTTTTTTTCTATTTTTATATCCTTTGGCCTCTCCACGTGACTTATATCAGGTATTCAAAACGTCTCCACTCCAAATGCCGGCCAGGGCAATGACTTGGAACGTAACCAAAGCTACCGTTAAATAACCCAGCAACTATGTCAAGATGCCCATTTTATAAAGCTTAATAAAGCGACCACTTACAAAATATCTAATGTCATTGACAGAATCACAGTCCAGCTATACTTGTTATTTTGCGTACTCGTGGGCAAACCTTAAATTGCACTAATACCGCACACCTCAAACCGCGGCACTACAGGTCAGTACATTGTTATTTTCCTTATTTACCCCTTGTTATAAAAGTAACACTTGTATAACCCACGCAAACGTGTTTACTGTATGGTGTACTGGTATATCTTATATTTTACATATAAAACAGCTTCCAAATTTATAGTTATAATACATCCCATAAAGCAAGAACAAATATATATAATAAGTGTCTTATAAATCCAAACAAAAGGGTGGAGGTTTTTTTTTTAAGCAGTGAAGCACATGACACTACAATGAATGAATGAATTTAATTTCAAAACCAGGCGCCTCTATCGAGTTAAACAGTGTGGTCTGCAATATTATATGGATGACAACATTTTTAAATCTAATTCTAATATTCGGCTGAGTATTAGCATGGTACGTCTACTCAAAGTGTCCATCTGTTATCGTAAAATTTTTGGAACATTTGAGTATTGAAGGCGCTCGTTTAAATTTTATATCACTCTCTTCATTTTGAGATATATATTACTAATTCTTTTATTTTTTAAAGTTATCTACTTGTAAATTGCCAACCAAAAAAAGGCTAGTCACGAAAACCTTGCGGGAAGGTCAAATGACATTTTCGCCATTTTACTCCCCCTAGATGACTAGACAAGCCAAGCGGAGAACATAATTTAAAACGCTTCATAAATACCAGAAAGAACAACCTATTTGTAAAAAGATGCCCAACATTCCTTCAGTATCGATGAACATTAGTGCAAGAAAGTCAAGCGCCGATGAGAAAAAAAAAGGAAAATTTTGCTTTTAGACAGCATGGATATCTTACGAAAGGCAACTCTTCCTGCTTGAATATTTGTGTTGCAATCACTATGACTTTCGAAACTGTTCATTGTGATATTTCACCAACTGCCGGGTAACATCGGTTTTTCTGATCCAAATGCACATTGTTATTGTTGGAACCCCTGGTATAAAAATTTATACCTTTTCTTTGAACAATTTAATCAGAATAATTTGCTATATTTGAAAATAAGCATCCAAAAGGGTAAACAGTCATATATAATCTTTTCCAAAGTCTCAGTTCCATCGAGCTGAAACATGCACGGCATTCTTTTTAACATATTTTACGAGACAAAACATAATTTTCAGCTGCATTTTTAAAATAAATCTCGTACAGCGCCGACGTTATATTTGACCTCGGCCATTTTCTGATAGCCGAGACCCTGGGTCATATCCTAACAAAGAATCCATATGACCGCTGCACGCTCGGGAATACATGACGTAAACTTTTTTATTTGTACAGCAGTATCTGTGTGTGCTCAAGCGCACTACATGAGTTCAGTAGAACACTTCGCTGTGACCTGCCAAGGTGACTCATGTACTTGCCCTATATACTCTAGTTCCGATCTTTCAGTCCCTTACTTCAGTGCTTTCTTTCAGGCTGCGACCAGAGGCCTGCTGTGTCGTGACTTGTGTGTGTGTGTGTGTGTGTGTGTGCAACATTGCTCTCTAGATATATGTGCAATTTTATTTAGAAAGAGAAATATCTTTGATTATCTGGTTTAAAATCTCTCTATGGCCCAGGCACAAGTTTTTTTTTCTTGGGCCTGTAATAAATCTCAAATACTTTGTCAGTACCAGCAAATGTGAATAATTTTTGCCGTCTGATGACGCGTTTCATGCTGATTTTCGGTCTTAGTGTTTTTAGTGTGAATGTTTCCTTGTCCTGAAATCTGTGTGTATACAACTGATGATAATGCCAATGTTATTGCGACCAGGTCTCAGCAAGGTGCAACGATTTGGCCCGTTTTGTAAAGGTCTCATATTTCGTTGATTTCAACACAGGGATTTTCGATCTAAAACCGGTGTTATCTCCGTCGGTCTAATCAGCTTGTCCGCAAACAAGTGGATGAGTTTAAACAAAGTGTATGAAACTGACAGGATTTCACTAAATTAAGTATTTGTTTATTTTACTCCCAAGCATTTGGCGTAAAATATGTTCCTGTGGTGAATTAAATTTTTATGAGCTTGAGAACTGGTACATGTATATACGGAACAGTCAGAATATTTTTCTTTTAAAAGTAATAACGGTAACTCTGTCCAACACTGTAGAGCACGTGATATCTCATAACCAATAAAAAAAAGGGCGGGGCGCATACTAACCCCCGTCCTCACCCATGGTGTCGATATTGCTTTGGATTTTGAAGAGAGTTGAAATGAGTTTCTTTACACTACAGACAATTACAACAAAAGTCAAATATTATATTGCGGTTTGCACATACACATTTTTCATCGTTAATCTGTGTTAAGCCCCCTGACCAACGTACGTTTCCCTCATTTCCATAATTCATAGGCCAATCAACTGCGAATATGACGTTTAAATTTTCTAGGGTTGTCTGCCTTGTAATTACAGACTAGTCGCGTCTGAGAGACTTTTCCAAAGGCCCTACATGTGCCCTAGGCCAGTTAAATGAGACCTAAGGCCGGTGTTCCGTCGTTATTTAACCATCCAAATTATATGTGGAAGTTCACGTTCGTTACTTTTTCATTACGTTTCTAGTGAAGCATTTTAGTGATGCACAAGGAATGTTTGAGGAGAAATATTAATGTCACGTGCAGTTTGAAGTTTAACAAGTGTAGATCATAAGTGCGCATGCGTAAAGCTCAAGTCAAGATCTAGATATATTCATGTGTATAAAATAGTAAGTCAAAGGATATATATCCTTGGTAAATCTAGACCTCTTCCAATGACATCGTTTAAGATAAAATTTATGAAATTATATAAAAATTGATTTGAAACGGGGTAACTGTTAAAGGAGTGGGGTGGGGTTAAATTTTTGTGTAGGAGTCCATTGGAAATTTTCCTCCACTAAAAGAGTGGTGGTAAGAGTGGAGTCACTGTTAGTCATATGAATCTAAGTGTTAATTTTGCTGGGGACCAAGGCGACACTAATCAACGCTTAAGGCCCTGTAGTGTTGGTACATGTAATGCATGAACTAGCCGTGGCTGGTAAAGTTCATTGAACTGACAACTGAGGAATAGGTTAATGTATTAGTAACTACCAGCAGGCCCACCACTATTACTCACTCCCGTACTCTCTGTCGCCTACGGGTCTATGACAATTTAGAAAAAAAATGAATATGACAGGATTCTATGTTTAAACTTCCACATTGAAATAATATAAGTCAATTAATTTTCATATGGCAGGATTCCGTCATGCTGCGTTTTGAAACGATATGTACCATTCTCGTATTTCTACCATATAATATCTTATTGATAGGAGCTATATTCAGGGGCGGATCGTGGATCCAGGATTATTTGAAGGGGTGTCCATTTTCTAGGAATGACAGGCTGTGGATGAGAAGCTGACTCCCGCCCTCCCCCACCCCTAACCCACCCCACCCTTGGCGTGGGGTTCGGGGTCCGCCGAAGGGCCCCGAAAAATTTGGTATTTTAGAGGGCGAACGGTGTCATTTGGTACGGTTTAGAACTATGATTCAGCTAGTCAAAGTTCTAATTTCAAGAGGGGACTATCGGTGTGATTTTTTTTGGTCAGGACCCCCTGACCCCCCCTAAATCCGCCACTGTAGCCTACTGTACAGTATACTTATTATGATCATCGGTTTTATTAGCACATCATCAGCATTAGCCATCCTATGTAGAGGCTTTTATTTACAGTTTTTCAAAACTTTTTAACATTCAAACAAATTTAACGAAGTCATACTCAGAGGTTTATGCAACAAAAACCTGAATCCGACAGTACTTGACATATAATAAAATCGTTCGTTAAGAAAAAATGAAGGACAATGAGGAATAAAAATGTTGTCGTATTCTCTCCATCTACATTGTTATGTGGCTAAGACGAAAAAATAGCAGGAAAAAAGCTTCAAGTAATTTTAAGATCTTTGAACTGCCTTACCGTAGGCCAACCCTACGCAGAGTCAATCTCAGTAGTAGGCTAGGCATATATATATATATATATATATATATATATATATATATATATATATATATATATATATATATACTTTATAGGCTATAGGCCTATATGTGCACCTATCAATTTTGATGGACGAATAACATCATATTCTAAAATATGAAACCCAATGCACACAGATTGAAAAAATTAAAAGGATAAAAAGAGACCTTGTCATCCTCAAAACACCTGCCGCCGTGTCCTGCGTTTATTTAGCAATCTTAGTGAGTCCAAATAAGCAATATAATCACCTACACATGAAAGTTGCGATTTCTAATGCCATTCAGTATGATAGGTTAATATACGTGCAAGGGTCGGGTTGTCAATTATTTGCCTTCATTTTACATTTATGTATAGTTACTCCGATGATTTATATTCTTAGCGGAACCGCATCCCGCTCCGGTTTTGAGTCAAGATAATAATTCCTGTTTTATGAATGAACTGTGCGTTGTGACCTTTTGACACACTTTTGTTGTTATGAAAAATACAATCAAAATAAACCAAATATTATTCTTTATAGTTGTGCTGAGTTTTCCCTTTCCATGATGTTGAGTCATCATCTCTGTATTTTCTTGCTTGTGTAGCTCATAAATCTCAAATCTCAAAGTTAAAAACAGAAAATGTGAAATTTTAGTACAATGCAAATGTTTTTTATCCGCCATAATGTTACCCGATGAGGACAAACACTTGCAAGCAGGTGTCAGCACTTGCGCGTGACGTCAATTGACCATATATGGAAAATGCTAATGAGTTCCGAAATAACAACATTGTACCGAGCGAGGGAAATCGTACTACGCTAAGACCAATTCACAGTTTTATCGCGGATCCTATTGACTTTTACACTTGTCAAGCATTGCTCAAGTGACTTAACACCTCAGGAATATATTTAGCACACATTTTTTGAGGTAGTGTACGCGAAGAAGCCAGAAATAACGGCAAGGGAATGACCAGCGCGCTGACCTCTATAAGACATGATGGACGTAAGCTAAAAGGTGAGGCATCACTCGGTCATGGTTTCTCTCCCATACCCTCAGCCTTTTCTTAACCCCTGCGTTTCTTTGGCTTGCCTTGTCAACGCCAATTTACTCCTTATGTATTGTCAATTCCGATGATGTATGATTTGGAGGGGGTTGGCGATGTTTAAGGGCTCAAACTTTCGGAATTTTCAGTTGTTTACTTTACCATGGGGCTCGCCTGCGCTTTCAGGCAACAGCGGTCATCAAATAAAAGGCCGGCCATCTTGTTTGTAATGGATGACCTGAGTATCAAGCGCGCGAGGCGAGCGCTGCGTTGCTTTAGCCAGGATTGCGTGTAAAATGTGTTGCAAGTGGGGGCTTCTGTATGCAAGACGACTTCACTTATGGTGGGACAATGGTTTCACAGATTGCTGGTGCGGATATCGTCCGACTTGAAATTTCCACACCGATTGACCTCCATATTCTTGTAGATTTCATCATGAATAAAAAAGGTCATTCATTGAATATGACATTTCCTGTCCTGTGTAGTAAAAAAGACATTCCACCTTGTTTTAGCCAGGAAGTGGTCGCTTTGTATTTATTTGTCAACATTTAAGGTCAGTTTTTAGAAAGGCTAGTAATCCCAGTTCTTTTATATTGTTTAATAAGTCTTGTATAATTTGGTGCATTCTTTATATTTCTGCTCATAGGAAATTTGGAGTGTTCAAAGATTGTTTGATTTGTATGTAGATCTATATGACAACTTTAAGGTTTCTGTGTCATATCAAAAATCTGGTGATTAACAGAATGAAAAGCGCTAAATTTTTATTTTATTTTTTTTTTCATTTTTTATTTCAAATCTTATTTAAAGGTATCTGTTCTGGTATCTTGCTTCCATTAGCAAATTTTCTTGAAAAAAAGCTAATTTGTACAATTGGAGGATTTTTGTTTTTGGTCTGAACTTTGAAAGATAATAGCTTTGCAGGATATTTTGATACAGAAAGTGTGGTTTTGGGACATTTTTAGATGTGGATAGTAGGCCTATACTTTAAAACAATTTATAAATAGTTAAAATTGTGTACATATTAAAAAACAAGGGTTGCGTGAAAAAGATTTTAATGATGCGCTCCCTGAATTTCCAGTGCAAATATTTGCAAACTGAAAAAATATTTATCAAAATGATTCCTTTCAAGTTATCATACTTCTCCGATTTGTGTGCTGAATACGATGAATTATTTTCTTGCCCTTTTGAAAATAATTTTGAAGGAAGTTTGATATTGTTATTATTGTTGTTGTTGTTTTGGTTTTATTGGCTATTCATGGTAGCCTGAATTTTTACCATCTCAAGTCTTATACTCACCATGTATTTGAAATATGGAAAAAATTTGTGTTCACCAAAGTTATTTAAGAATGTATAACAGATTGTTGTATATAAGTAAGTTTTATGCAGCAATAAGGTTGATCACTAAGAGTGAAACATCGATACTAGTAAGGAGTTTTTACCACGTTTCTTCATAGTTCAGCAGCATAAAGGAATTAATTCAATCTTGCATCAAATGATAAAGGGTGTGAAAAATACATTGCCAATATCTAAAAGTATATATCTGCTGTTTCTTAAATATTACCACTTTGTTGGCATGAAAGGGGTCAGAATTGGCAGTCATCCAAATTTGTACAATTAGTAAATAGAAGGCCATCGATCTTAGTTTTATAGACTTAGTGAGAAATGTAAGCTGTCTTGTAGTTATAACTTATCAGCATTTAATGACAGACTAAAACAGTCTTTCTTTTTGCTGCCAAATATAAGTACTAATAAGACAAGAACCTTAAGTAAAGAAGAACGGCATATACAAAACGGCACACATAACATATTAAATGTATATGACCTATTCTTTTTGTGCTATCACAAACAGAGTGGCCCAAAAATCAATAAATGATATTCAACAGAAAAGAGCACAACAGAAAGGGTCACTTGGTGTGTAACTATAAATAATAACTTCAGGGGGCTTTATTGAAAACTGTTGTCATCTGTATCAGATATCAAATTTGGGGTCATCTCAGGTAATGTTTACTGAAGAACATAAAATAGGTTTGTTTTGTTGGATAAATTACTTAGATCTGAGAAAGAAAAGAAAAAAGAATTGTTTGGTAACAAAAGTCCTTGCTGAAGCAATATGGTGAGCATTTCAGATGTTTCTTCCTTGAGGGGAGTGTTAATAACAACCATAAAAATGTCAGTCTTTTTAGGTTGTAGCCTTCAATGTAGAGGCTTCCTTAAAAGTTCTTTGTGGTTTTCTTGAAGAGATTTACATACTAGATTTTAAAAGTAGATTAGCGGGGTCATTTGGTTGGTTTTTGTACCATGTACACCATCTTTTAAATCAAACCATAGGAGCAAATTATCTAATGGAGGGTATTCAGACGATACGATATGCAATGATTCATTTCAGATTCCCCCACTGAAAAATGTCCCTTCAATAGTGATTGTAACTGTTGATAGCTATCAGCATATTTTTGATGATCTTGATAGAGGTGATATTAAGCATGTTCCCTTGTTGAAAGGGATTTTTGAAGAGGTAAAAATTTGTTATGCCTTTATTGATAAGTAAATATATAAGTGTATATTTTCTTGTAGTGACTTTATTAGTGTTGTTTAAAGCATTCAACAGTAAATTCAGGAAGCTTTTTGTGTAATATCGATATTGTAAATAAGATGGTTCTTAGAATTTATTGTTTCATTTATAATATTTGGTGGTTGAATTTAGATAATTTTCGTTTAATGTGATGAACTACTGTAAATATGAATATTTATAGTCAAAATCTTTCTGCAATTTTTTTTTTCATTTAAGATGGCTTAGGTTTTGGACTACTGTTACTACTAGTTTGCCTTGAAAGAAACTCCACAGCTTGCACAGGGTTTCTTTATTTCAGCTCTCCTTGTCTATGACATTTTCTGTTGCAGCATCCCTTAGCAGTGTGTCCATAAAGCCGACTTGTGTTCTTCCTGTCTTCTCTCTCTGAAGGTTACCGGAGAATAAAGTACTTCTCTTTGGGCAATACAGAAACCTGCATTGTGCAAGATGCATTCATCTTTACTGCATCTTTATGGACAGTCTTGAGGGCTTTCGGACCTGTTACTTGTGTGTCATTTGATTTTCAGGAAAAATATACCTTATTCACACTTGTTAACAAGTAAAGTACGGTACAATGAATCTCGATATGACTACAGTCAAATAAACCCACTTTTACTTTTGGAGTTCCCTTACTTATATGGCCCTCATCTATTGTACTTCCTGTTTGATTCCTATAGTTCATACATAAAATGATGTGTTTACTTTAAAAAAAGCAACCAACACGCCCACTCCCCATAAGGAATATCTGGACAGCGGAAGGTCATTTTTGGGTGCACTATGGGATTCAGCAGGTCAAAAGGCCTGTGAAGTCGGACAAATTATTTGCTTTATAGTGTATATATTTTACTATGAAAACAACCTCCATAAAGACCACAGTTTGAAATTGACCATGTTAGAAGTCCAGTGGTGGAGTTGTTAGATGACGAGTAACATAAGAAAAGTTGACTGTGCACCAGAACCACAGTTAGGTGATAACCACAGTCCTAAAAATGCTAACTAGTGTGAATGGTTTGAAGCCAATTCACATTTCTTCTTCAGCCAGTTCTTCTCCTAGCAGGTTGTCATTCTAAGTATTCTGGTTGGTTGTGTTTCTTTCTTTTTTTTTTTCTTGATTTATTTTAGGGTCAGTGATTATGTAACTCAATAATACAAATTCCTCTGTGATAATGAAAAGGCAAATTTTTATTCTCCTTGGTCAGTTTGAATTAGGGTCTTAGCGTGAGCCTCACCAATTTGCTTATTTTAAGGTATTTTTAAAATACAAACCTTCACTTGTACTCATAATCTTAAATCAATAATGCTTTTTTTTTTCACTTTCAGCCTATTGAGTAGGATATCAGCCACATCTTCTGATTCATCCCAGTGTAAGAGTGAAATCCTAGGCCCCGTAATGGGCCGAATGCATTGAGGTGTGGGCATGAAGAAAATACATATTCATGAAGCTGTGGTACTATACATAGGGGCGCTGGCGGCCATAGGTAAGTTATCAGTGCTTCATTGGATCAATTACTTGGAACACTGTCAGCTCTTTTTTCACTGCAGGTTGTTGACTATGAGGGTTGATTTAAGTTAATCCAAAGTAGCCTTTTGGTTTTGAAGCCAGTGTACCAGAACTACCAGTCCTAACTATTTTTGAGAGAGATTTTATTCTGAAAATAACATGGAAATGCTGGTTCAGAAAAACAGTATAAATGAATTGTATGGAAGCATTTGAACCAACATCAGATGAAGTGAGGGCTCACAAAAAAGATAAGCATTGTAATGTTATGATAGAAATAATGAATTAAATATATTAAAAATACAGTAATGATACCTAAGAATAAAATAAGATCAGCTCATTTTCCACTGATATGGGTTTCTGAAAAATGTGATAATAATTTTTAAAAAAGCCACTGTCAGATGAAGTCAAGGCCTAATTAACAGACACGATGGGCACAGACTCATTGTGTGTTAGTATTAGCGTAGATTAAATTGTAATTAATTAACCCATCTCGTGTTTTTGTCGTAACCACACTTGTTTTGGTTTGGAGAATCATATATATATATATATATATATATATATATATATATATATATATATATATATATGTGGTTGCTGTCAGTTTTTATTAGTGTGTGTAAACTTGGCGGAGAATTACAGATGATTATTTATGCGCATAAGTTCTTCCACTTTACATATTTGATCAGGCAGTTTGCTTTTTGTGTGGAATGTGCTAAAATTGGTATATAAAGTTAAAAACCCAACACAATTTAAACAAAGGAATTGAGCCCCCGAGACCCTAAAACAATAATAAAATAATAGAAATAAGTAAATAAGCTAATAAAATGCTGATTCTGAAGTTCATAAGATAAATAAATAGCATTAATATTATGTTAATGAATTTATAACAGAAATGTTCACTTAAGCCAAATGAATCATCAATTGTATACTTGAACTTCCCATTTTCAAATTTATTCATTGAAATACTGTTAAAGGATTAGGCAGGCTTCCTTTCATGAAGGTCAGTCATATTTTGGTCTCGGCCTTGCTAGACCTCGGCTCTTCTCGATGTGAATGCTCTCTAAGTGTTGAAAATGTTGATAATTTTTGATACCATTTTGGAAAATAATCTTGAATGGTTCAACTTTCTCAGTGGTTGGTAAACAAATTATGCTGGTATGTGTGTCCATGGCAGGGATGCTTATAGAATGCTAATTTCTGGACTATTTACCTGTGTTTTTCAGGCTTTTGTGATACTTGTTCTCATTGATAACAATAAACTTGTAAACATAATGGTCATATTTGTGAGAGAAAAGATCCAGTTGGGGACTGTCCACAAGATGGCAGCTATAACCATACTTGCTGTCATATATTAATGGCTTCTGTTCTTGAATAAGATTTATACATATACGAACAATGAACTATATAGTTGAATTATTGATTTACTACCGATATTCTAGTATCGTGACAGTAACTCAGCATGCATGTAAAATGGGCAGTGTGGGTTTTTCTGACGGTCAGAATCTCTGTTATTTCCCATATAAGGAAGGAGCATTAAAATGAGATTTGAAATTTATGGGATGGAAGTGCTAAATTTAGGCTTCTGGTATAAATGCCTTTTTAAAAGTATTGGTTTCAAGGTGGCTGATTCTCAGTTATTCTTGCTTAACCAACTACATGTCTGAACCATAGCAACATGTTAGTATCATGTAGGTGTCATGTGCCCATAAAGGTGAAAGAGAGAGAAAAGGCAATGGTGTTTTTCTGAATTTTTATGATTAAAGCATAATTTAAGAGATGAGACCTTTGAAAGATAAATGTAATTTCTGCCTCTGAGATGTTCCTGCCATAATTGAAATAGTTTAAAAGCCCTTTGTATATACTGGCCCTACAGGCTTGAAGGCAACTTTGGTGGTACAAAATCTATGAAAGCACTTATGAAGTGTTCAAATAAATTTCATCTTATAAACTCAAAAACTCACTTTATGACAAACAACAGAATACTCAGAGGAAACATCGGGCATCCTGCTCACCTTTTTATCTGAAATGGCACCATTTTAATTGCTTAAATTGATAGTGTCCATTATTATCCAATCAGCTTTAGGGCAGTGTGTTCTGCTTTAGGGCCCAAAGGCCAATTAGGCTGAAAGGTTTTTGGCAGGGTCTGAAGTGGACTGGTTTTTGAGAAAAGATGAAAAATCAGAAACAATTTGTCCATTGTAATCAGAAACAATTTTACCATTGCTTTTCTTCGTCTAGTTAGTTTTTTATTTTTATGTAGCATGAAATATTCTGTGGTTTTTACAGTCATTTGAGCCTCAACATTTCTGTCATGTAAAAAAGAGGCAGTATAGTTTATAAAAATGTCGACATATGATATCAGTTAGACTTGTTTAGAAAACAAATTGGCATATTTAGACTTGTAAAAAATAGATCTATAGAAAGAAAAGGTGATATGTAACCAGTGCAGCAGTGATTGATACTGCCCTTGGCTTAAAATCAAATAAAGTACAATTGGTTTACTGTTCTTTGAAATTCAGTACATGAAAAAATTGTTAATCATAATATAACTTGAACAAGTACCCTAGAAGTAAAGAAAAATAAACATATTTTAACCTCACAGGGCTGAGTCAGTCTATGGTCTTTTTGCATCACTTGCTTCAGTAAATGCAGCCTAAATTATTCCACCAGCACGTCACCGCAAAATGTGAGGACATAATTGGTTGGTCCTCTTTTGGGTCTTGACCTCATCGTGGAATGTGGAGTTAGTTTTCAGGTCATAGGGGTTATGTCAAGAATGAGAGATTGTGAGGGTTGGAATATCTTGGGAGGAAAAAACACCATAGGTATCTTTTACGCTTGCACTGGATGAGAATGGTGATGAAATTTTATATCAAAATAATCATTGAATTATGGAAAATGGATTTTTTTTGGACAGGACCAAAAACAGAATAATGGCAATACAGGCCCGTAGCCAGCAATTTCAAATGGGGAGTTCGTTTTCTGAAAAAGTGGACCTTTTATCATAAAACCTTCATGTACCTAGATCAAATTTTATCCAAAGTGGACCTTTTCCCAGCAAAAAGGGCAGTTCTTTCAACCCCCCCTGGCTATGGGCCTGGCAATATGACCCCCACTGTTGGATGGCAGGTTAAAAATAACGAAATATGTACAAAAAGGTGGTAGATGCATTCTACATTAAGGTCATAAAATTAATCTAGGGAAAAGGGAACATTGTTAGCCTATTGAACAGATTACAGAACAGCCTGGAATAGTGAAAAAAATGTGAATTTTCATTAAGGTGTAGGCAAATTGGGACTAGAATAAAGCTAGATATGATTAAGCTAATTTGGTATAGAATTAGTCCAGGCATGACTAGCAGCAAATATGACCAAGCATAATAGGCAAATTTCAAAAAGCAGAGAATCAAATGTCTGTCTATTTACCTAAAGACACAAATTATCTGGGAATATCTGGTGAAAAGTCAATCTGTCCCCCTGGTAGAGTGTAGGACAAGGCCAGGTAGGGCTAGAATTAGGTCAGGCATGACCATGCCAGTTTGGGCTGTTTAAACCCGCTTTACACTGTTATATACGGATAAGACAGTTATGGAATATTAAGTGGGTGTGGTGTTTTGATGGATTCCTGTTAATTATCTCATCAAACCAGTGTCACACGTTACTGTCCCATGCATAAACAACCCCTTTTGGAACTAAATAGCAAACAGTTTGAATTGCAATCTCTGTCACTTTTTATTTGAAGTGTTGATGAAAAAAAAGCAAGGGAATGAAGGGTAACACCTTCATCTGTCTTTCTTGATTTTTTTACATGTAAATCAACATATCAGTTGTCAACATTCCACAGCCCTTTTCTACTCTTATTTGTCAAGGAATTTTCACGAAATGGTTCAACTGAAAACCTTTTTTTTTTTCAGGACAAAAGGGCCATTTACAACGCAATATAAATGTGTAATTGTTCAATTTGTGAGTAAATGTTGCAAAACAAGTTTAGAATATTTACAGCTTATTGATGGTGAATTGTGTGTCATGTGCAAGAAAAAATTGTGAAGCTCCCCTTGCTCATTACAATAGCCACCAGTACTGTTTCAGCCAACTGTTATTACTAGAATCATATATACAGGAGACAGTTCAAATGTGTACATCAAGAATATTTTTTTAAATGGGGTCATGGTTTTACTAGCATGGCAAATAGAGGTAGGTCAAGGTATGCACATTACTGTCAGTGTGTGCCAGTTACGTAAATAGAGAGCCTAAGGTTATTGACCTGGAGGTATTCAGCTGTGTGTGTGTGTGTGTGTGTGTGTGTGTGTGTGTGTGTGACTCTCTCTCTCTCTCTCTCTCTCTCTCTCTCTCTCTCTCTCTCTCTTTGTGTGTGTGTGTGTGTGTAAGTGTACTAGTATGTGAAACTGTATGTTTGAAACTGTATGTGTGTGAGTATGTGTATGTGTGTGTGAATACATGTAAGTGTAACTGTATTTGTGAAACTGTAAGTGTATGTGAAACTGTGAGTGTGTGTGTTTGTGTGTGTGTGTGTGTGTGTGTGTGTGTGTGTGTGTATGTGAAACTGTGAGTGTGTGTGTGTTTATGTGAGTGTGTGTGTGTGTGTGTGTGAAACTGTGTGAATGTGTGTATGTTTATGTGTGTGTGTGTGAGTGTGTGTGTGAAACTGTGTGAATGTGTGTGTGTGAGTGTGTGTGTGTGAAACTGAGTGAGTGTGTGTGTGTGTGTGTGTGAGTGTGTGTATTTGTGGAGGGGGGGGGGGTCACAGAGAACCACATGCTTGGAACACTGCACCCTTTAACTTATTCTGTTGGCTTGGCCCACGTTTCACCAAAGAACTTTGGGCATAAGAATGTCCTTATTTTCAGACATAGTGTACTGAAAACTGCAATAAGTCTGTTGAAGAATACTGAACTAAAAAAGTAACTGTTGGTCTAAAACATCAGCTATTCCTACTTTTTGTGTAGAGTGACTAATACCAGTATTTAAGTGTACTACTACGGATTTAGCCTGCATTTAAGTAGATTTTCGCTCTTATAGCTCAGGCCAACTTAAGACTCTGGGTCTTTTGTTAAATGTGGCCCTGTGCTATGAATTACATAACCTTTGTGACCCACTAGTGCTTAGTCCTTTAGAAATATGGACCCTAGTTGTGTAACAACATAGCCTATATAAATACGATGGCAATTTTCCATTATATCCAAGCTGGTCAAGTTTTCCAAGTTCTGCTTCATACAAAACATAGCTTGCATTAGTAATATCTTGAATTTAAATAAGTTGGTTTATTTTGAAAGGTCATACAGCCCGGCCATTGAGTCGGAATGACCATTACATCGCTGGTCAAAAGGAAGGGGTCAATTTACGGTCAAATGTGGTGAGGAGGTTTGACAAAATCATAATGGAGATCAGAAGGAGAGTAAACATTATTTGAGAGTAATTTCTCTGTATTTATAGAGCGGTTACTGAGTGCGAGGTCAGGAACTCATACTGGCTGTATTAAAACTGAGATTACTGATGACCAAATCGCTTGACATGGGATTTAGAATTCCAAGGTCGACCCATAGCAAAATTTTAGGCTTATTTGCAAACTGTGGCTGCAAATTTTCTGCAAATTTGCAAGGATTTTGCCATACAAATGAGATTTGTTTTAAATTTGAAAGAATATATATATGAAGACTTCTTGCAATTTTGCTGCAAACCTTAGATGCTCTTGTAAATTTGCTACAAACTTTGCGTTTTACTAAGGGGATGTGTTGGAAGCTGATCAGATTGTTTTGATGTAAATTGAGTTTGTTTTAAGTATAGGTTAGTCATACTTTTACCACATACTGGCATTAGAAACATATTGGATGGCACCTTTGGTGCATTCAGGACGAGTTGATCCACGGAATCATATATATCCACAGATCAGATATGGCCAACCTGCTACAGTAATTTGGTCTGCTGATCTGTTGGTCTGAGAATCAGCATTGGTTGTGAATATGGCCCACGTATTGTCTCTGTATGTCCACTTGATGTTTTAACTTGTTGTGGAAGAGAAAATGTGAAGAATGCTTGAGTATACACACGCACATGCATGCACGTTATTTTGTTATAGGCTGAAAAGGGAATCAGAAATTTGAGTAACTGTAAAGAAATTTCGTTTTGAAATACACTAAATAGCTGTGTTGACATTTATTTTTGTCTTTTAGTTGCATCATTCTGTTTAGTTTGATGGAAGAGGTCAGAGTGGAATGTACTATTGGTTGACCTGATGCCAATTTCAAGAGCAATAAGCTATCCTAGTGAGGCCTGTGCCAAGTGTCCTCAGCCTGACTTCTTTCTTTTTCATAGAATGGTTGAGATTGTAACTTTTGAAAATAAAGATGTAAATTATATAAATTCTTGAAATCAAAATATGAAATTTACCAAAGAAAACATGGTGTATTTTTTTTTCTGAAGATTATAGCTTACTTTGCCATTTTGCATCAAAAATCGATTAATCTTGATCCTGTGGTCCCCTTGATGACTGATATTGCTTCAAAACTAAATAAAAGTGAAAAAAAAATCTTGGATATTGTTTAAATTGGGGCGCTTAGCACATAATTAACAGTCATTGTAAGTGTTAAGAAATCCATCCCTGTATGGAGACCTTCAGCCAGCTCTGTGTACAGTCCATGTTCTATGTTACAAATTGAGCAATAAATTTCAGCCCAGCTGTATGGATTTTTGCCTAGTTGTGTGTTTACACAGTATTGATATCTTCACACTTTCTATTATTTCATGCGTGCAGATTGCCAACCCCCCCCCCATTCCACACTTTTTAAATATGTTTGATGATATGGTTTTGCTTCTTTTCAGTGTATAATATAAAATGAGTGGGTTGTTTTAGAATAGGACATAAGTTAGAATAGCATATGACTTCTTCATTGAAGATTTAGGTAACATATTTGTGATAATACCTTTTTCAATCAATTAATATGTGCATATCCCAAATAATTTTTGGCATGTAACCAGGCTTGTGGAACTTATTATGATGAGTGCCTTGCCTTCTTCAGCATATTTTGTTAATGTGCAGGTTTTGCTAATTGTGCAGAATAAACACTTGAACTTTGGTGAATGTAAATAAAGATTTTTTTTTTTTGCATTACATTTTTTTGCCAATTTCTAATTATTTAGTGATATCTTGTTCTTGCTGAAAATTTAAACTATAAGTTTAAGTTGTATACGTTGTGTGAGATCTTAGAGTTCTCACATACCCAGAGAGATTGCTTTGTTTCATGGAATGAATGCATCTCAATTAACAACTTCGTCTTCTTTTTCAATTTCAGCCCCTGAAGTTGCATCGAAGTGTGCCATCACCTATCCTTATTCCTCTCCTTACGTCTCTCCTGTCTACGAGCAGCTCACGCCATCTGGAGGGTGTGTAAGTTCTAATATCACTCCTAGTCGCAAGGAAGTCCACGTGATCAACCTACAGGGAACGTTGCTCGGAGGAGACCATCCTGTTATAACTCTACATATTCTACCTCTAGAGTTCACCGGTAAGTCACTTGTTTTAAGGTTTTATTTGTAGTGAATAGGTATGAATTTAACAGATAAGGCCTTGCTCACAACAAGTTGGTCCATGGACTATATAGTCTGCCGAACAAAAACGGTACACAACTGAACCCCCCACCTACCCCACCCCCCCACCCCCACGTGTGCCGTTCCAGCAGGGGCAGAGCTATTAAATTTTGGCACATTTTCAAGTAGGTCTTGCCATATTTGATCTAGGAACTAGTTAGTTTGCGTATCAACTAGTTGTGAACACAGCCTTGGTCACATGCTCTAAGTCCTGTTTGTATGTATGCAGCCAGTGCAGGTATGAATTGAGCAGATAAGTCACATATTTTAAGTCCTGTTTGTAGTGAACAGGTATGGATTTAGCAACACCTGGAGTGCAAGTGTGTGATGAATATAGGTCCTTACCTAGAAAGTTTTGTTTTTGTTTTGAGTCCCTCCTAGGTTGTGTTCAGAAACAAAGCAGTGAAACCTATCAACTCCCAACATATTTATTTTTCTTGTTTACAAATGTGGTTAATCAACTGATTATTATGGAAGTCCTGATTTCAAGAAATTTTCATTCTGGCCCTTTCACATGTATTTGGATGGAACTTAATGAATCCCAGATTACATCATCGGCTTGAATAGTATTCGAGCTGTTGTTGCACAGCATGGCACACAGCAGCATCCCATATTAGAAGGGGATAGAGTTGATTGTTTATCTAAGTTATTCCTGCTCCCGGCACCTGCCTGTTTAATATAAGAGATTTTTAAGTGGTGTAGTTTTAGTCTAGTTATATTTGTATTAACTTGATTGTGATTAAGACTTCATGAAGGTGATAAGTTAGATAAGGGAAAGGTAATAGGAGAGGATGTGTGCTTGTTTTTTAAGAGGGGTTGAGGTTATTGGATAGTGAAAGATTCAATATTTAAAATGTTTTGACAAGTGATTAAAGTAGTAAGTCACATGGTTAATTATTTAGAGATGAAAGTCTTGCAAAAATATCAGGATATTAAGGTGTTGTAATTATGTCCTCCACGCCACCTTTATAGGCCGGTTAAGGTCCTTGGCGCCTGGATTTTCAGGATTTTTAAAAGTCCTCTTTCATCCATGCTGTCTTGTACTAAAGTTTCATTAAAATTTTGAGAGATTTAACCAAACCTGTGATTGTTTTTGTTTATTTTTCAGGCCCCCACTCAGGTCCGCTTGTGTTTGTGTTGAGTTCTGCCAAACCAGTGACATGGCACTTGCAAACAGGGAACATTGCCAATCGCTCAAGCATATTCTGGGTAGGTCACTTTTTCACATTAATTGATAAATAAATTAAAATAAAAATAGGTAATTAAAGCTTCCCTGATTATATTTGGCGAGAGATGTGTAAGATGAAAAGATTACTGCAAAAGTTGCATCAGAGGACATAAAATTGCATTGTAGATCAATTGCAAAAAATTTATACCACTGTTTGTAACGAAACTTCTTGTGGAGTCAATAACACTATGATTACATACCAGCTATTTATAATCATTATAAATAGCACAATATTCCCAAAAGACCACATTATACCCTAGGCGTCTTTGTGTTGAACACTGAAACTGAAAAATAGCATGAATGCTGAAATCAGGTTGCTTGTTTATAATTGTATATACTGAATTAATCAGAAAAATGTTTTACAGACACACATTACAGGCTCTCTACAAAACTTATTTCACACGCATGCCTGCGCGTGCGTGCGTGTGCGCACACACCCACACGCACACACACACAATGAGTGCTATTATTAATTATATGCTGTAAAAGGATCACAAATGCTATATAGAAATATAATTTTTATGATTTTAAAATTATGTATTTGGAAGATTGATCATTTTTGCCCATTGAAAAAATTGCCATTACAGCAGGGCAATACAAATGCCTCTTTCCATGAAAACATAAGCAAACAAATCAATAAATGAAAAAAGTAATCTGTTGTTGTAAACAGTATTTTGATGAATTTCAGATGGAGTATTTGTATAGTTTTAAACAGCAAATTGCCGTCAACCTGCTTCTGACTTTTGATATTTTGCTAGACAAGGCAGAAAAAAAATCAATTTTGTTTTTGTGAATAGCTGTACACAGAGAGAGAGAGAGAGAGAGAGCTTGATCATCATAATGTGGGCTTGACAGAGCGAGAGCTATTTTCCTACAGGCAATTACAACTGGTGGGCAGGGGGTATTTCAGGGCAACAGATAACGTATCCTGAATAGAATGACCATTTGACCATGATAACATTTCTGTTGCTATGGTGACGGGTGTGGAGAGCCAGTCACGAGGCCAGTCAAAAGGTCAGGCTGGAGGCCCTGCTGCGTACTCATAGCTTGGCACAGTTACTGGGCGATGGTTTGAATGGAGAAATACTTAACTGAGATAATACTGCTCGAGCCAAAGCACTTTAAAATGAGAGAGTTATATATAGAGGGTTAAATTAATAAAAACTTGGGAAATGATGATGAAGAAAGGGAGAGTTATTATATATCCAAGGCTGTGTATGCATAGAAAGCAAGAGGGCGAAAATATCTGTGACATGCTCCTTTATAATGGGAAAAATATCTCAAGATAACTTTGCTTATGTGAAAAAAGTTACTGAAATGGTACTTTTGTTTACTTTGTGGTATTATTGTACAGATTTGAAGATGTCAAAGTGTAAGGGATATTTAATTATTCAAAATTTTATTTTGAAATTTTAAAATTAAATTGTTTTGGTGAGAACTGTCATGTAAACAAATGCCAAACTCTATACTTTGTAAGATGTAAAACAATTTCTATTGTACAAAGTCTCAAAGACCATTTAATTTCTAAGACTTGCCCTTCTCCATTTTGTGAATATCACCTAGAAAATAACCAGTGCAAAGCAAGTAAAAATTATTCTTGAAAGAAATTTAATTACTAGTACTTTGCTGCCATCAGTTTGTTTGCACCTTCTTGGTTGTCCATTCACGCTGTCTGAAGTGGAAGCCTTTTTTGCACTACAAAATCAAGTGAAAATGGACAATTTTTAGCTATTCATATTTTCATGTGTATGAAGTTGGACTTTTATTTATTTATTTATTTATTTATTTATTTATTATTTATTTATTTATTTATTTATTTATTTATTTATTTGTTTGTTTATTTATTTGGTCTGTGAATGTTTAAAAAAAACTCAAGCCCCTACCCCCCCCCCCAAATAAAATAAAGATAAATAAAAGGATTATTTTGCTTACATGTCTCATAACGATGCCAAGATATGAAGAGAGAGGTTGTAATGTGGGTAGTAACGGTGTGATGTTTGTGGCATGTAACGTATACCTTGAAATACAAGTGATACACATGAACAGCACATTTGTTGCAGCTTGGAAGATGAATGTTAAAATACCATTTCAGTAGAACCAGGCTACAGAACAATACCTTCACATTTTCAAGGCCTCAGAAGTTTGATTCCTATGAGATGCTGTTAAAGAGCTCTATTGATTAGAAAAATAACCTTCTTTATTAATTGTTATTTTTCCAAGAACACACCTAAGTTTACAAGGTAATTCAGAGAAAGCCTTTAAAAAATTGGCTTTTAGTTAAATTGCTCTTTGCCATTGCCTATTGTACTTTCACAAATATAGCTTAGGTTTTTAAAATTGTAGCTTTAAAAAGCTTTTGTAATGTAACCTTTTGTCACAGGAATGGTGTTTTTAGATTAGTGTTATTAAACACATCATATAAAGAAATGCTTTATCTGGGTTAAATGAAATCTACTGGAAACAGAACAACACGCATTCTTTCCACAAAACCGCGCTCAGTTTATATTTATCCTAAGACATTACGACTTTGTATTAATATAATATCAATGTTGTGTAAAAATAGTGTTTGTTGGAAGACGATCTTTCCACCGAAAGTTATTTTTTTACCATTCAGTAGATCACTCATTGCTTTCAACTTACAAACATCATCTTTGAACTTTATAATATAATGTTACACAGCACTCTAATTACCTTAGCCAGAGAGGTTTGTTTTTTTTTTTTTTTACTTTTGTTTGTTTGTTCATTAATAGCTTGACTAAAAAAATATGGGAAGATTTTGATAAAATTTTTAAGATCTATAGGTCAAAAGTGAGCCAATTTAGAATTGATTGGATTTTGCTGGTGATCTCATTATTAATTGTTGCCACTTTAAAATCCTCATCCTATAAATATTGATTAACTAACATTTATTTTATCATTGTCTTTTCAGCTGTCTCCGGGATCGCGGATATCAGGTGACACGTATATCGTTAAAAAGCAGAATGAGCGCCGCCAGAATATGCCAGCTGACAGTAAGACCCTACTACAGTGGTCTGAGCGCAAGTTCCATGCCGTGACATCTTTGATGGAGGTCATGAATGGAAACAATGTCTTCAAACAAGTTGGCATTGGTAAGTAGATTAGCTTTCTTAATTTCCTATAGATCTTGATGCATCTTAAGCCAAGAGAAGAAATCAGTGGAGACATAAAACCGCATTCTTTCTACGAGAGAAGAAATGGGTGACTTAAGAAGAGTTTTAGTGATGATTGGTTATTACTAAAAAAATTTATTAATTCTGTGAAGTTGGTGAAGTACAGTTAAACATTTCTCATTTATACCAGACAAAATAATATCACTTGCATTTTGGAAATCATGGGCAGTTTGAATCTTGACTGTGTTATATTGAATGGAATAAAAAAGATGTTCTGTCATAGTAAAAGTTTTCATACAATGAGCTACATCCCACCAACTAACATGAAATTTAATATGCTTCTACTACATTTTAATTTTCCATCTGATATAATCTCATCTTTCTTCTTTTTCAGCTCCCGAATCTCCCAGCAGCTGTATCTTTCAGAAGCCATTTGAATCTTCCAGCTCCGTTGCGGCATACATTCAGCCCCAGCCCATGTCAGGGTGTGCAGAGACCTCTAGGGAGGGAATGTCAAAGCAGTGAGTACACTTTCTGCTACCACAACGTATGGGATTCTGTGATGTGTTTTCACAAATATGACACACAATTCATATCACAGTGAGTTGGGAAGCACACCTTCTGTTTTATTTAGGGAACTGCCCTAACGAAAGAGTCCTATAGGATTCTATAAGTTTCTATAGGATCCCATTGAGCCATATTCCGAAGGAATCCTATAGGACCAAGCTAATAGTTTTAAGTGATGTGTTAGGTTCTAGGATTTGCCTTCAGGCAAGATCCAAACAGTGCATACTCCCTATTTTGCAACTGTTTCATCTGTTTTATTTGCTTGCTTTTGTGTACTGTTTCCTGGATAGTAACGGGCTGTAAATAAAACACTATCTCTGGTCATTTATTAGGTGGAAATGTGAAACGAAATAACTAAAATGTAATTCAGGTATACAGTTGCCTTTGCAAGTCCACATTAAATTTTCCTATGACATAGGGACACTGGGAGGGGCTCTTAGTGTTGGATTGTGATTTAATATATTGTTATGTTCAGAAGCAGTAATTCAAATTTCCAATTATTATGAATATATGCTGGTTCATTTCTAGGAAAAATGCAGTTTTTGTGGGTGTTTACCCTGTGATATTAAAATTAGATATTTTTAATCATTAGGGTGTACTTTTAAGTATTTAGGTGAAGTGTGGAGAAAAAGATCAGTGATAGCTGTGTATATTGTTTTTAGTTCCTTAACCCAGAAAATAGTTTTATTCTATTTGACAGAAATGAAATATCAGAAGATAGTTATTGTTATAACTGCTTTGACTCAGTGACCTTAAAGGGATAACAAACTGTTCATATGAGATTCATAATTCACAATAAATACATTGTAAACATTTTATCACCAAAACAGTGGTTAGTGTAATTATTCTGGAATCTGTGCTTGCAGACCATGTGGACCTTCGTAGATGGCTATATCTCCATAATAATAGACTTAGAGATTTGATTAAAAAAAACTTTTTAGAAAAAAACAGGGACTGATATTGAATGGATCCATTTACCATTGGTAAGTATGGAAAATGGTATACCCCAGGAAAATCTTTTATTTATTATTTTTTTTGCCAAAGTGAAGTTGTTATCCCTTTAAGGCATAATGTAGATAATTTTGATATGATTATTTAGTTATTTATGAAATGAATTAATAAAATAAATAGCTATCTGATGTTACTAGGTGAAAAATGTCAAAGATGAAAAGTTAATTATTGCATCAAACCTTTTGAAAACAAAAAAAAAGTAAAATAAAATCAGCAACCAAAATTATTGAAATTGAAAAAAGTGAAGTCAACATCTGTTAAGGGCAAACCAGGATGTGTGATATTTTCACTGCTGGTAGTGCACAACAAAAGATTTCATCGTGAAATGAAAAAATAATTTTCCTAAATAAGAGGGTAAATTGAATTTTTTTCAGTCTATGTAAAGTTATAACCATGCTGGTTATACAAAAACGGATCATCTTTTACAGGATGTGTCCTTCATTGATTAACTGTGTTCTGTTCGCTTTTGCGGTAAAAACGTCATACTGTGACAAGCAGTCCTTTCAACTGAGTCCACATAGTTTATCCCTGGCCAGTATATTTAGTTCCTAGTTAGTTAGCTGTTAAATTATTCTGAAGATAATTATTAACCTGAGATAAGGTGTCCATTGATCTAGTTGTTTACGTCAGTACATTGTGACACCAAGTCCCCTTTATCTGAGAACTGTTTCCAGGAACTGGGGAACATTGTCACTTTGGCAACTGAAATTTCAATAAAGTTGTCCCTACACAAAATAAATAAATAAATAAATAAATAAAATTAAACATTCACTAGCCAGTCACTTGAACAAGGTGAAAGCAAGATGTATTCCTAGATGACATTACTGTTGAACTCATAAATCACTGACCTTTACTAAGTCAATTGTTGTGGTTTCCCCATATTTAAATCTTATGTCACAATTCAGTGCTGGGGAATGTGTGTTGCCACTGTTGTACTAGATTGCTTTCACAGATAAAGTAATGGGCTCCCTAGGGGCCAACGTTAAAATGCTTTTGTTTTTCCCTTTTTTAACCCTGGCTGCTTTGCTAACCTTTTGTTTTTTGTTAAAGTACTCTGACTTGGCCTAGTTTTACAACAGGTGAAGGTCTGCCTCTGTTTATTTATTTTTTCAAGCATTTTGCATTTTGGACTGATTGTGACTGTTATGAGATAATGGGGTTTTGGCTGGTTAGGTAATGGGGAACATTGCCATATTTCAATATTGACCTTGCTAAAACAGCTGTGATATAATCAGTTTAGTTTAACACAACAACAACAACAAATAACACTTCTGTCACTTGCTGTCTCAAAAAGGTGGTAAATGTCATATTTTATACGACATGAAAAAGATGTTTGCTGATAGCATTTTTGATAAGCACACGTCTTCACTTAAGCACCCACTCCAGTAGTACAGAAGAGTGATGGGTATAAACTTTAAAAAAGCATATGTGACCTGAACTTGTTGAAGAGCTTGTAAATATTTGAACATAAATGGCAAGCTGTGTTTGATTTTTTGTTCAGTTTCAATTTTTTCAATTTCATTTTTTTCCCAGTGATTTAGTCTGTAGCATTAAGCGTACAAAATTATATAACTTTAGAACATTCATCCCATATGTATGAAAAGGTTCATTACAACTTTGAGTTCTTGATTTAAGAATTACAACTCCTTATATTTTTGTAGATGAGCTTTGAAAAATTTTTGTACATGCGCTTTGAAAAAAACATCAGTCATAGAGTTTTTTGTAAAAATTGTCACATAAACAGTTCTTTTCTTTTAATATAGTGTAAGAGATAAAGACAGAAAGACAAGTGCTGTATGTGCTTTTCTTAGTCCACAAACTTCATTCTTTATGGTCACAACAATTCTAGAAATTCCAGGGAAAAAATATCAAAATATCAATCTCTCCCTTTCTTTCTTACTTTTTTGTATTCACGAGTCCCACTATTCAGCCTCAGTGTCAAGGTATGGGGGGGGGGGAGGGGGGGGGCAAGTTTGAGTTTTAAGATTTTGAAATTCCATGTAAAAAATCGGAATTCATCTTTTTCTTTTTCTTCCTCAGGGACATGCACATCATAGAACTCCATTCTTCAGCCCCAGTGGCCAGGGAGGGTGCAAGTGTCACCATCAACATAGTGACGGAGAAGGAGCGCAGCATCAGTAGGGATCTCCTTCTGATTCTGAAAGCTCATCAGGACATCAGCTGGCATATCAAGACCAAGAACCTCGTTGGGCGTCTAGAAATTGTGGTAAGGTCTTAGTTAGTGATCATTGCCTCTGCCATGGAGGTTATGTGTTTGCCTTTGTTGGTTTATCATTTTACTGCATGACTCAAAAAGTTAAAGAGTGATATTAATGATGCATGTTGGCCATGGTTGCTGAAACACTGTAGGTTGAATGTGCAAAGTTATCTAGACCTTTTTTTTTCTTTTTTTTTCTTGGGTAGATAGAAACTGTCAAACCTTTTCATTTTACGTTCATTGCATATTACACCCTATCCAGGCACCCTAATGTAAAACGTCCATATGTGTTCATTCAGGCAAACCGCAGCATCAGCAGAAATGGAGTAAAAATGCACACCACCATCCAGTATGACGAATTAAATCGTAGTCGAGAGGAGCTGATCAGCTGGTCAGAGAGGCAGTATGGGCCGATCGTCTCGTACACTGAGGTGCAGATCGCCAACAGAATGAACTTACTGGTCAAAGATGTTCAGATTCTGAGTAAGTTGATCAATTGTTCTCTTCCAGAAATACAACTGAGATAATTGATTTCACTAAATATACTTGAGTTTCTCTCAGAGGAATAGTGATGCTTTTAATATTTTGAATCAGTATATAGGTTTACTTTTCTCTTTGTGCTCTTTATTGTCTGAAGTTCTCTCTCCCAGTAATCACAGAATCTTAAGTGGACAGTGATATTTATTCTGAAAATTTGAAAGTGCCTAGTAAAGAGATTGGCCATTATCAAAGCATTGATGAGTATATCTTGAGATATGAGATATATGTCTTTATAAATGAAATTGCCTTTTCAACTCTTTCCAGACACCACCCCAACCACTCCAACTACTTCAACCACCACCACCTCCAGCACCACTACCTCGAGGTCCCGAATGGCTACCTCATCTCGTTCCAGAAGTCGCGGACCCACGGGACATGGACTTAAATCCCCTTTTATCAACAGAGATTTGACGAAAACGGCTCTCCAGCATGCATTGAAAGTAGCGTGCAATGAGCAGGATCTCGAGGCCACGTTAGACAAGCTGGTTCTGCAGGTATTTAATTTTGGAATGATATAGAGGATGATTTGTTATAAATGGAACTTGTATCATGAGGGTACGTAAATGTGAGCACCAGTTACTAGTACTGCTATACTTTTGTTCGCTATGTGTGGTTATATCAAAAATGAACAGGATTGCGTAGAATTTTTTGAATGAAAATGTATTGATACAAGAGTTAACTATGTTTTAGAAATATTTCTTGATGCTGTACTTTTTAGATCATAAGGGGATTATTTGTTATTCAATTTGGCCCGGTTTCACAAAAAAAAAAAAAAAAAAAAAATAGAATAAAAAAAAAAATCTAAGTCGATTCCCGGCTTAGTTGAGTAGGATTTCTATGAGGGTGCTGTAACAAGTTACTGGGGCCTGAGGTCATAGAAATAAATATGATAATATCATTTCAGCCCTGTGGGGTGAGGGCCGAGCAGCTGTCCCTGGTGGATGACAAATGTCGTCCGGAAGAAAATGCCACACATTTCATTTTTAAGACGGGTTACCATCAGTGTCGGACGGTGCTGAAGAGGAACAAAGACACAGGCTTGAGGAGCTATGTCAACTCAGTAAGTATGCAGTCAAGTTAATCCTGGGGACAGTAATTGACATAGCTGGGTTGGACTTGAACAGTCTTCTTGTAGAGTTTTTGTGATAGAGATCAGAATTTGGTTTGTATTTTTTGACTTTGCATAGCTGTTAGTTTGGATGGTATATTGAATTATCAGTTTTTTCAGCAAGAATAACACTTTTAATTTTCAAGAACATGGATTGAGATCATGTGAGATCAAAAGTACCAAAGGTCATTTAAGTTAGCTATCTTTTCTCCAAGAGTCAGCTTAAATTTCATTTGATTTTTGCAGGTTATAATACATAGGCGCCAAAGGGATGATGAAATAATAAATTGGCGCAATGGTAGACAGGTGCCAGATGATCACAATGAAGGCTCTGGTTTTTCGTCTCTGGATGGTACATATTACAGTGATGATGAAGACTTGACTATATATGACCTTGTCATACATAAAGAATTTAGATGTATGCCTAGGTATTTTGTGGACAAAAATACGGTGAGAAACATTTTGTTGACATTGCAAAGGAACATTCTAAAAAATACACAAAGTACAAGGATACATCACATTTACCTATAAACAAATGAACAGGAAAGAAATACAACATTTAACTAAAGAAATACAACATACAACTAAATATATAACTTAATAATAAAGACTTATGTGTGCCAAGAGTTCATTTAGGAAAATTATCAAAACTAATTCCTTCATCTATTGATATATAAGAGAAGATTCTGAAATGGTATCTCAGCTATTGGCATGATCTGTAGCCTGAGTTGAGCGGTGTTTTTTCATTGCAGTCCACCAATGTGATCCGAGGGGACAGTTTGCCTGAGCTGGGCTTCAAGCTGTCCTTCTACAAGGATGACCAGTTCATCCAGCCAGAGGTCTCTTCACCGCTGCAGGTTGAACAGGGGGGCACCATCTTTGTTGGAGTGGATGTAATTGGAGGTATGTGTATGGGGAGATGGTTTATGGCCATAATCCAGGAAAAACTTTGTCTGAATATGTGTAAATTGTGTATGCACTGGGATTTGATAATTGCAGTAATTTTGCGAACTCATCAACCACTGAAAGCATTGTTATGTATAATAATAATAATAATAATAATAATAATATAAGTGTGCTCCTTGTTCTTTTCAGAGCTGTGTACAAAACGGAGATTAAAACCTAAAATTCAAACGTATATGTAAAAGTTAAAATGTAAATAATTTCACTTGTGCTGTCACCTCTCTGTTTTTATTTGGCATCCTGTCAAATATGGAAGCAGCCATTTCATACTGAAGACAAGCATAATATGAAATAGTTTTCCATTTATACAACACATTCATGAGCTTCAAGAGCCATTTATGTTAAGTTTCAAGTTCCTTTTTCTCTGTTTTTCAGACGCCATTATCCAGCCCATGCTGCTGGGCTGCTGGCTCTCGGACACCGCTTACGGAGAGCGTGACAAGGTAATGCTATTTGACAGGGGCTGCAAGATGGATGATACCTTAAAATGGCTGACCAAAGGGACTGGGAAGAACATTCTGGAGTCTCTCTGGATCAGACAGCAAAGGTTCAGCTTTGAGTTTGCACGGCTGTCGCGGAAAAATATAGCTTTCTTGAACTGCGAGGTGGACACATGTAGTCGAGACGGGAGGAGTAACAGGAATCCGCCAGTGAGGAAGGTAAAAAGTAACACACTTTTATTACCTGATAACTATTCAGTGAGAAAAGATGTCAGACATGTACTGAACATTTTAGTGATTTGCTTTTCATGTATGAACCAAGTGCTTGATAAGATGGTTTATCGTCGTGGTATCATTTCAGTGTATGCCCCCTGGTAAGATGTGTCTGACGTCACGTATGACTGTAGGGGAGGGGCAGGAACCGGCCTTCCAGGCCCCCTCTGAGTACAGCAAAGTGGTGTATGCAGGGCCGATAGTACAAATAGAGAGGGTCAGGAGTAGCACAACTGTCATCCCCACTAAGCCAAGAATACCAAGTAAGTGGAAGTTCTTATGTAGTTTTGAACCTTGTAACAAGGTAATGTGGGGTAAAAGTTTGAAAATTTGCTCAACTTTTAGTGTCTATACTTAATCCACACACACTTCAATACTTAATCCGCACGCATGCATGCACGCATGCACACACGCACGCACACACACACACACACACTTTTTCGCGAAAGCAGTGATCCATATAACAAGCAAATTTTCGGAAAAAGGGCTACAACAGTAGACTACATTACAGCCACCATATACATGTAGCTGACTTCAAGACTGTGGGTGTGAACTTTATAATAGAATTGAATCTTTCCTTTAAGTGCTGCATCCATTTCACCACTCCTTACTCTTCTCATTCTGACTTAGAATTTAGCCAATAATTTAGCTAGCTAATGCCCAGTGTATTTTCTGTTCCAGGTCTCCCAATCCCTAGTGACGGGCCAGCCACCCGTTTACACACAGACAGCTCCAAGGGCAAGCAGCAGCCTACTCATATAGTGTATGGCCTGGAGTCAGGGACAGTGGTGGGCATAGCATTTGCAGCATTTGTCATTGGTGTCTTACTGACGGGAGCACTGTGGTACATACACACACATACTGGTGAGTCAGGGAAGCTTTGGTATAGTGGGGCATTCTAGGACAGTTTTTACCGAAGAGTTTTTTCCATTTGATGATTGCCAATGGGAGCATTTGTCAGACATGCATATGCCAAAGCATGCATGCATGCACGCACGCACACACACATACATGCACTCACACACACACACACACACACACACACACACACACACACACCTGCAACCAATATAGATGGACAATATTGCTTCAATTTTTATGTACAGACACATCTNGTACTGTGACAAGCAGTCCTTTCAACTGAGTCCACATAGTTTATCCCTGGCCAGTATATTTAGTTCCTAGTTAGTTAGCTGTTAAATTATTCTGAAGATAATTATTAACCTGAGATAAGGTGTCCATTGATCTAGTTGTTTACGTCAGTACATTGTGACACCAAGTCCCCTTTATCTGAGAACTGTTTCCAGGAACTGGGGAACATTGTCACTTTGGCAACTGAAATTTCAATAAAGTTGTCCCTACACAAAATAAATAAATAAATAAATAAAATTAAACATTCACTAGCCAGTCACTTAAACAAGGTGAAAGCAAGATGTATTCCTAGATGACATTACTGTTGAACTCATAAAACACTGACCTTTACTAAGTCAATTGTTGTGGTTTCCCCATATTTAAATCTTATGTCACAATTCAGTGCTGGGGAATGTGTGTTGCCACTGTTGTACTAGATTGCTTTCACAGATAAAGTAATGGGCTCCCTAGGGGCCAACGTTAAAATGCTTTTGTTTTTCCCTTTTTTAACCCTGGCTGCTTTGCTAACCTTTTGTTTTTTGTTAAAGTACTCTGACTTGGCCTAGTTTTACAACAGGTGAAGGTCTGCCTCTGTTTATTTATTTTTTCAAGCATTTTGCATTTTGGACTGATTGTGACTGTTATGAGATAACAGGGTTTTGGCTGGTTAGGTAATGGGGAACATCGCCATATTTCAATATTGACCTTGCTAAGACAGCTGTGATATAATCAGTTTAGTTTAACACAACAACAACAACAAATAACACTTCTGTCACTTGCTGTCTTAAAGAGGTGGTAAATATCATATTTTATACGACATGAAAAAAATGTTTGCTGATAGCATTTTTGATAAGCACCCGTCTTTACTTATAGTGCAACATTTATTTAAAGCACCCACTGCCCTTTCGGTAGTACAGAAGAGTGATGGGAAAATTTTTTTTTTAAAAAGTATATGTGACCTGAACTTGTTGAAGAGCTTGTAAATATTTGAATATAATCAGCAAACTGTGTTTGATTTTTTGTCCAGTTTCAATTTTTTCCCAGTGATTTAGTCTGTAGCATTAAGCGTACAAAATTATATAACTTTAGAACATTCATCCCATATGTATGAAAAGGTTCATTACAACTTTGAGTTCTTGATTTAAGAATTACAACTCCTTATATTTTTGCAGATGAGCTTTGAAAAATTTTTGTACATGTGCTTTGAAAAAAACATTTTCAACAGTCATAGAGTTTTTTTGTAAAAATTGTCACATAACAGTTCTTTTCTTTTAATATAGTGTAAGTGATAAAGACAGAAAGATAAGTGATGGATGTGCTTCTCTTAGTCCACAAACTTCATTCTTTATGGTCACAACAATTCTAGAAATTCCAGGGAAAAAATATCAAAATATCAATCTCTCCCTTTCTTTCTTACTTTTTTGTATTCACGAGTCCCACTATTCAGTCTCTATATGAAGGCATGTGGGGGGGGGGGGGGGGGGGGGCAAGTTTGAGTTTCAACATTTTGAAATTCCATGTAAAAAATCGGAATTCATCTTTTTCTTTTTCTTCCACAGGGATATTCACATCATAGAACTCCATTCTTCAGCCCCAGTGGCCAGGGAGGGTGCAAGTGTCACCATCAACATAGTGACGGAGAAGGAGCGCAGCATCAGTAGGGATCTCCTTCTGATTCTGAAAGCTCATCAGGACATCAGCTGGCATATCAAGACCAAGAACCTCGTTGGGCGTCTAGAAATAGTGGTAAGGTCTTAGCTAGTGGTAAGGTCTTAGCTAGTTTGCTTTTGTTGGTTTGTCATTTTACTGCCACAAAAAATCATAAATATCACTCTTTAACTTTAACACTAAATGGTTGCTGAAGCACTGTGGGTTGAATGTGCAAATTTATCTAGACCTGTTTTTTTTTTTTTTTTTTTTTTTTTTTGTGTGTGTGTGTGGGTGTGGGTGTGTGTGTGTGTGTGTAGAAACTGTCCAACTTTTTCATTTTATATTCATTGCATATTACACCCTATCCAGGCACCCTGATGTAAAATGTTCATATGTGTTCATTCAGGCAAACCGCAGCATCAGCAGAAATGGAGTAAAAATGCACACCACCATCCAGTATGACGAATTAAATCGTAGTCGAGAGGAGCTGATCAGCTGGTCAGAGAGGCAGTATGGGCCGATCGTCTCGTACACTGAGGTGCAGATCGCCAACAGAATGAACTTACTGGTCAAAGATGTTCAGATTCTGAGTAAGTTGATCAATTGTTCTCTTCCAGAAATACAACTGAGATAATTGATTTCACTAAATATACTTGAGTTTTCTCTCAGAGGAATAGTGATGCTTTTAATATTTTGAATTGGTATATAGGTTTACTTTTCTCTTTGTGCTCTTTATTGTTTGAAGTTCACTCTCCCAGTAATCACAGAATCTTTAAGTGTACAAGTGATATTTATTCTGAAAATTTGAAAGTGCCTAGTAAAGAGATTGGCCATTATCAAAGCATTGATGAGTATATCTTGAGATATGAGATATATGTCTTTGTAAATGAAATTGCCTTTTCAACTCTTTCCAGACACCACCCCAACCACTCCAACTACTTCAACCACCACCACCTCCAGCACCACTACCTCGAGGTCCCGAATGGCTACCTCATCTCGTTCCAGAAGTCGCGGACCCACGGGACATGGACTTAAATCCCCTTTTATCAACAGAGATTTGACGAAAACGGCTCTCCAGCATGCATTGAAAATAGCGTGCAATGAGCAGGATCTCGAGGCCACGTTAGACAAGCTGGTTCTGCAGGTATTTAATTTTGGAATGATGTAGAGGATGATTTGTTATAAATGGAACTTGTTTTATGAGGGTACGTAAATGTGAGCACCAGTTACTAGTACTGCTATACTTTTGTTCGCTATGTGTGGTTATATCAAAAATGAACAGGATTGTGTAGAATTTTTTGAATGACTATGGTAACCAAGTTACTGGGGCCTGAGGTCATAGAAATAAATATGATAATATTATTTCAGCCCTGTGGGGTGAGGGCCGAGCAGCTGTCCCTGGTGGATGACAAATGTCGTCCAGAAGAAAATGCCACACATTTTATTTTTAAGACGGGTTACCATCAGTGTCGGACGGTGCTGAAGAGGAACAAAGACACTGGCTTGAGGAGTTATGTCAACTCAGTAAGTATGCAGTCAAGTTTATCCTGGGGACAGTAATTGACATAGCTGGGTTGGACTTGAACAGTCTTCTTGTAGAGTTTTTGTGATAGAGATCAGAATTTGGTTTGTATTTTTTGACTTTGCATAGCTGTTAGTTTGGATGGTATATTGAATTATCAGTTTTTTCAGCAAGAATAACACTTATAATTTTCAAGAACATGGATTGAGATCATGTGAGATCAAAAGTACCAAAGGTCATTTAAGTTAGCTATCCTTTCTCCAAGAGTCAGCTTAAATTTCATTTGATTTTTGCAGGTTATAATACATAGGCGCCAAAGGGACGATGAAATAATAAATTGGCGCAATGGTAGACAGGTGCCAGATGACCATAATGAAGGCTCTGGTTTTTCGTCTCTGGATGGTACATATTACAGTGATGATGAAGACTTGACTATATATGACCTTGTCATACACAAAGAATTTAGATGTATGCCTAGGTATTTTGTGGACAAAAATACGGTGAGAAACATTTTGTTGACATTGCAAAGGAACATTCTAAAAAATACACAAAGTACAAGGATACATCACATTTACCTATAAACAAATGAACAGGAAAGAAATACAACATTTAACTAAAGAAATACAACATACAACTAAATATATAACTTAATAATAAAGACTTATGTGTGCCATGAGTTCATTTAGGCAAATTATCAAAACTAATTCCTTCATCTATTGATATATAAAAGAAGATTCTGAAATGGTATCTCAGCTATTGGCATGATCTGTAGCCTGAGTTGAGCGGTGTTTTTTCATTGCAGTCCACCAATGTGATCCGAGGGGACAGTTTGCCTGAGCTGGGCTTCAAGCTGTCCTTCTACAAGGATGACCAGTTCATCCAGCCAGAGGTCTCTTCACCGCTGCAGGTCGAACAGGGGGGCACCATCTTTGTTGGAGTGGATGTTATTGGAGGTATGTGTATGGGGAGATGGTTTATGGTCATAATCCAGGAAAAACTTTGCCTGAATATGTGTAAATTGTGTATGCACTGGGATTTGATAATTGCAGTAATTTTGCAAACTCATCAACCACTGAAAGCATTGTTATGTATAATAATAATAATAATAATAATAATAATATAAGTGTGCTCCTTGTTCTTTTCAGAGCTGTGTACAAAACGGAGATTAAAACCTAAAATTCAAACGTATACGTAAAAGTTAAAATGTAAATAATTTCACTTGTGCTGTCACCTCTCTGTTTTTATTTGGCTACCTGTCAAATATGGAAGCAGCCATTTCATACTGAAGACAAGCATAATATGAAATAGTTTTCCATTTACACAACACATTCATGAGCTTCAAGAGCCATTTATGTTAAGTTTCAAGTTCCTTTTTCTCTGTTTTTCAGACGCCATTATCCAGCCCATGCTGCTGGGCTGCTGGCTCTCGGACTCCGCTTACGGAGAGCGTGACAAGGTAATGCTATTTGACAGGGGCTGCAAGATGGATGATACCTTAAAATGGCTGACCAAGGGGACTGGGAAGAACATTCTGGAGTCTCTCTGGATCAGACAGCAAAGGTTCAGCTTTGAGTTTGCACGCCTGTCGCGGAAAAATATAGCTTTCTTGAACTGCGAGGTGGACACATGTAGTCGAGATGGGAGGAGTAACAGGAATCCGCCAGTGAGGAAGGTAAAAAGTAACACACTTTTATTACCTGATAACTATTCAGCGAGGAAAGATGTCAGACATGTACTGAACATTTTAGTGATTTGCTTTTTCATGTATGAAGCAAGTGCTTGATAAGATGGTTGATTATCATGGTATCATTTCAGTGTATGCCCCCTGGTAAGATGTGTCTGACGTCACGTATGACTGTAGGGGAGGGGCAGGAACCAGCCTTCCAGGCCCCCTCTGAGTACAGCAAAGTGGTGTATGCAGGGCCGATAGTACAAATAGAGAGGGTCAGGAGTAGCACAACTGTCATATCCACTAAGCCAAGAATACCAAGTAAGTGGAAGTTCTTATGTAGTTTTGAACCTTGTAACAAGGTAATGTGGAGTGAAAGTTTAAATATTTGCTCAACTTTTAGTGTCAATACTTAATCCACACACACTTCAATATTTAATCCACGCATGCACTCACTCTCTCACTCTCTCACTCTCTCACTCTCTCTCTCTCCCAAAAGCAGCGATCCATATAACCAGCAAATTTTTGGAAAAAGGGCTACAACAGTAGACTACATTACAGCCACCATATACATGTAGCTGACTTCAAGACTGTGGGTGTGAACTTTATAATAGAATTGAACCTTTCCTTTAAGTGCTGCATCCATTTCACCACTCCTTACTATTCCCATTCTGACTTAGAATTTAGCTAATAATTTAGCTAGCTGAGGACCTGTGTATTTTCTGTTCCAGGTCTCCCAATCCCTAGTGACGGGCCAGCCACCCGTTTACACACGGACAGCTCCAAGGGCAAGCAGCAGCCTACTCATATAGTGTATGGCCTGGAGTCGGGGACAGTGGTGGGCATTGCATTTGCAGCATTTGTCATTGGTGTCTTACTGACGGGAGCACTGTGGTACATACACACACATACTGGTGAGTCAGGGAAGCTTTGGTATAATGGGGTATTCTAGGACAGTTTTTTCTATTTGATGATCGCCAATGGGAGAATTTGTTAGACATGCATATGCCAAAGCATTGATGCATGCACGCACGCATGCACACACACACAAACACACACACACACACACACACACACACACACACACACACCTGTAACCAATATAGATGGACAATATTCTTGAATTTTTCTTTTAATGCATTATTTTTACAGTTTTATACACATACATGTTCCTCTTCACTGGTCTTTCTTTACACATGACATGCAGATGCTTTTGGCATCTTTAATAAAGTATCATCATATGACTGAAAGGTGTTGTGATTTCTAGGTCCCGTAGGACAGCCTCAGCCCGCAGCAGCTCCAAAGGGCACCCGCAGTGGCAAAGGTTCCTCAAAAGGATCACTAGAGAGTAGCATGGAATGCACCCCTAACTCTTTTACACCAATCGCATCGTAGCACGGGCTTGATCATCGTAAAATGGAGGGAAACGGGTCTCATGGCGCACCCTCAAGTATTATAATATCATGATATTATTTTATAGAGATAAACAGAGGAAAGGGATGAAGGAGGATACAAACAGCTGTCAGATAGGACTGATAAAAAGTTGTTTATCAATGTGTAGACCTTAAAGTGATATTAATGAATGAAAAGAACTCTCAAAATGAATATTTTGAAGGGTCCTAATTGTTACTTGATGACAAGGAGCACAGAAAGCAGAGTAACAATGTAGGATAACTTCATACGGAGAGAATACAGTTACGAAGATAGAAACTTATATACATACGGGTGAAAGAAGCCACAGGGATTTAAATCTGGTGATTTATAAAGACTGGTATCATACAGAAACGATACCAATTCTGAATGCCAGTGGTTCCCTTTCTTAAAGGAACAATAGATGTGGAATGTTGAGACTAGAGTGAAGGAGGGAGAAATGTTTTTCACAACATAATGACATTTCACACCACTGAGACCTCATCCCCTATTGAAATCCAACACAATTTCTGTCACAGCTAACGCAATGACCGACAAGTCTTCTCACACTTCTCTGTCACACTGGGGCATGCTCTTACATTATCAACTCAAGGTGGACAGAAATGGTTGAAACAAGAACTTTTTTTTTTCATCTGTAGTGTTGTCAGCCAGGACTGTTTCAACAGTGGTTGGTGAGGCAAGATTTTACATGTACTGTTCTACAAGGTTTACGGAAGAATGAAGAAGATGAGCAAACTTTGGAGATGCCATACTAGCCCTAGTCATGCCTATTTTTGAACTCTACAAATGGATTGGGACAAAAATGATGAAATTATTAATACTAAGGAGTCTTTCGACTATAGTATTGCACAGATTAACTGCTACACTGAAGCTGTGGTGTAGTTCATTGAACACCCAATCCCTGTCCTTCTTACAGCAGTGGAACATGACCAGGCTCACGGTAACCAGTGAAAAATCTTCTTTCATTGATAGGGATGGTCACATGGATTAATCTGTAATAGGTCTTTTTATCAGATGTTTATACATGAAAAATCTTTTTTTAGTTAATTTTGTTCAGTAAATAGTTCCTCTGTTAGACGTTACATTTAGGATTTTTTTATAAGCAGGGCTTCTCTATTTTTAGTGGTGCCTGGAAAAATGGCATGTTAAGTTACCCCCTAATTTACTCTCCCACTTAGATTTTGAATTGTTTTTAACCGTATGTGTTCCATCTTGTAATAATGTCAACATTTATTGGTGAACTTTGTTGACATGTTTTATGTATGTAAACTGCCTCCAAAAGACGTGTCATTATTGCATTAAGCCCATGCAGATTCTTGGTTGGATTTATAGTCATACATGAAGCTGTCATGCTAGAGAAATCTGGAGTAACAAAGTGCATTTCATTTGTCGTTTTCCCTTCAGTAGAATCATCAAGCAGCCAAGAAAATCACACTGAACACAAATTAGATGGTCGTCTTTCTGGTTGCAGATTAAGCACTTACCAAATAGCCAGTGATATTGTTGTCTCCTGTCTGAAGTGCTTTGGAGACCCTGATGACACAGTATGGCTTGTTCTATTAACCTTATTCCCTTTTATATCCACATTGGCAAAGGAAAACTCTATGCTGTAATCAGCTATACAAAGTTGATGCTGAAGGAAAATGACTAATTGGTGCATTTTGTTCACTCTCTTTTTCTTTTTGAGTTAATAGGTACCTGAAATGTTGCCCTGTAAAATACACATAGACACTAAATGTAAGTAATTGAATGCAAAATTTCAGTTGCGATACTGTTCACCAGCTATTTAAGTTGTTCATATTCTTTCTGTTGCTGCATTTTTTTTTTTTTTTTTGTCCCAGTGGTTAAAAATTATATTGGTGTATGAGGAGAGAGTGTAAAAGGTTCGCAAAACATTATTACGGGTACTACGGGTATTTAATTCATTACATGTAGATATGTAGAAGTATAGCCCTGTGTTCTGTACACTGTTCAATGTATATGTGCAAAACCATGTGTCACACTGACCTTAATATGTTATTCTGTAATATACCATATAAATGTGCTTTTACATATACATATATATATATATTAGTAGCTATGATATTTTATCAGTAGATGTGCACATACATAATTGTCATCATTTGAATCATTATTGAATCAATGAAGTACTGAAAAATAAATTTAAGAGGTGCTTAATTGTGATGCTCTAGTAAGTAGGAAATTGTCAGTAAAAGTGTTGATCATTTCTGGGAGCAGCTTTTCTTAAACTTCTGTATGCATTTTTTCTTTTTTTTTGGGGGGGGAGGGGGTTGTAAAAAGGAATTTAATTATGGATTTATGTGGCCATATATTAGGTCCTATGCTATTTAATGATATGAATAGAATTACCACGTTGTAATGTCTGGATAAACTGAAACCTTGCTAAACAAGTGAAAAGCTGCACTATGAGACCAATTAATTTTTGTGCATGATATTTAATGTTTTGTTTGTGGAAAAATTTGCTATTAGTGGTACTTGATTATTAGACCACAAAGCGCAAGTCCATACGTTCATCATGATATAAAAAGCACCATATGATTTAAAAAAAAACAGCCTGGTTCCTGGATTAAATTATCTGTGGTGATCAGTGGGAGAAGAAAGAAGAAGAAAATCTTTATTGAAATGACCTTTGAATGTGGTCTGTTCACATCATGTGTGGGCTGGGAATGTCCAGTGGTAAATTGTTAGGATTTCATATTTCATGAAAGTTTGAGAACAAACTGATCACAAAGGCCTCCAAATTCTTTGTAATTGTGGTGTAACTTTCCTGTGATTACCCCACCCCCCCCACTGAGAAC